TCGGGGACTGAAAAGGTGCTAAGCAACCACCTTCCAGCTTTGACACTTCCCCGCTTTCACGGAGCAATGTCAGCTCCACGAGTGATGGGTGGGAGAGCCCTGCACGGACACCAACAGAAGAGCCTACGTCCCCAAACTGCCACCAGCTCTTGTTCAGACCAGGAGCTCCAGCCACTCAATCCGCATCACTCCAGAACTCGGCACAGAGGGTGCTGGGGAATCGCCTTCGCAGTGGGTCGGGCAGTCGTGGGGCAGAGCCCACAGCAGCCACATTCCTGCCCTTGGGGAGTCATAGTCCGGTGGGAGCCAATGCACTTTTTTGGGGGCACAAAAACCCCCACCGCCTCAGTTTCTCACCTGAGTCCGCATGGCTATTCCTGCATCGCTTCCCCACCGCTGTCAGGCCCATTGAGATCTGGAGAGCCTCAGTTTTCTTAAAGCCTCTGCTTTTTTGTGCTTTTCTTTCAACTCGTGCTCTCTTTTCTCATCCCACTGGAGATAACGCAGGGCAGAGGAGCCCCTGGGGCTTGGCCACCCACACCCTCCCTTTATGTCTTGTTAAGACTTCACTGTGGCATTTGGTGGTGCCTCTGTAAAATGATGCTCGGTGCTTCTTTTTGTCCCAAAGCTTTCCTAAGGCCGGGAGGGGAAAAAAAGAAGGCACCCCCCCCCTCCCCCCCCCAAAGGCAGAAAGCCACAATGATGGAGGTGGAGAGGTGAAACAGCCCCGGGCAGGGGCTGCCGGGGTGCAGGGTACCCACACCCTGGGACTTTGGGGTGCAGGGGAAGGGCAGGAGGCTGGGAGAAGGGGAGGGAAAGCTGCCACCCTGGGGCAGGGCAGCTGCCACCCTCAGGTCTGTGGAGCCCCCAGGGCTGCACCCAGAGGTGCTGAGGGTGGGTGCAGCAAGCAGGCCAGGCTCCCTGCGGCGTACGGCATGGCACTGCAGCAGCCTCAGAGGATTTTGCAGGAGGGTCAGTGTGTCCCGGCCGGCGCTGCCCCGGTAGGAAACACTGCCTTCCCCTATTTGCCCAGGGGCACGGGCTGGTTTGTGCAAGAGGTCCCGGTGTCCCAGTCCGGTCCTAGTCCTGAGTTGCACGATGAAATAAACTCACCCAAATTCACTTTTCCAAAGTTTGCAGTTATTGCGGAGCAGCTAAAATTATCCCTCAAAATCCCCCAAAGCCTTGGGTTCTGGTGAAGCCTCATTCCACCCTACAAGCACCACACACCAGCACCTTCCACATTCCTCCCAGTCTGAACCTGACCAAGGTGCACCCAATCTTACATCCAGGAGCAATTAAGTGAGCAACACAGCAATTATCACCCTACCCGTCCTTCATGACCCTAGTCCATATGACCCTATAGCCATCCCTACAGCCCTATGGAGGAGGGAGAAACCAGGATCTGGCGTAGGCTCCCTAGCAAGATACTTCCCACTCTGGACTGTCCTCAGCCCAGCCGTGGCTACGTGAGGATGCTCTCCAGCCATTGCAAGGCAGCTTTTAAAGGGCAGATCTTTCCCAGAGCTGCGCACTCGGCCTCTGCGAGCACCTTTTCAGAGGGCTCAGTCTTCCCTGGGGTCCTGAGAGCTGGGGCTTTGTATAGTTTGTGCCCTGAGGGGTTAAACACTGGGAGATCTGGTCTGGAAAATGAAAGAAGGACTGTCTTTGGAAATTCCAGCCTGGTGGGTCAGGCTGCAGGGGCCTTGCGGGATGCGGGATGAGAAGGAGGGAGGAAGGGTCGCCATCAGTGCAAGGCAGTTGGCAGCTCTGCCCGGAGCTGCTGGAACAAACAAGCTGGTTGCAATGAGACACAGCTGCTCCGTGCAGGTGTCAGCGGCCTCCCCAGATCCACCCTCCCAGGAGCCCTCACAGGCTCAGCTGGAGGCGCGGTGCTGGCACTGGGTGCTGGCACTGGGTGCTGGTCGGGAGACGGGGCCCTCCCCTTGCTCAGGTGAGAGGAAGGAAGCGGTAGGGAGAGGAGGAGCTGAGGGTGAGCGGGCCTTGCTGCTGGCGGAGGGCAGCCTCTGGGGGTTCTGGGCTGGGCGCCCCAAAGTTGAGGAGGT